AACGAAGGTTCTGTAAAAGCTCACGACTACGATCATGAGCACTAGTACTGGTGCCAACAAAATGGAGGATGATAGTCTGTATAAGGGTATAAACAACATCCTGCTGTTGGACGGGCTGATTGGTAGTGGGATCAACTTCTACTTTGACAGAATTAAGAATTTCTAACTGTTGAGTGAGAGTGAGAACATTATCCCACCATCTTTTAAGGGCGCCGGTAAAACCATTAATAATAAACTTAGCAATGGCTTGATCGTTGTTGCTGTACTGGCGGCATACGGTGGCATACATCAACATTTGATGTAATTTCTTATAAATGCCATATTCAGATTCACCATCTATATTCCATTCATAGATGGTTTTGCCATGGTAACTTCCCTGGTCATTAATATAGGTTTCTTCATAAAGAAGATCAGGAGGAGTTGGTCTAGCGTAATAGTTCCTAGTAGATGGTAACATGGAAGGTTTGGAGGAACTATACGAATATAATTTGTTGACGGATGATGGTTCTTGGAAATTCATTTGAATTTCATGAATTTGGGCTGGAGATAGATCATCATTGTCTACGGATGGTTCAGCTCTAAGCATCTGGATTGATCCACTGGATTGTCCGGGTGGCTGAGATGCAGGAGGGCGAACATGTAGTGTTTGCATTTTCTGTAAGAGGGTGTCCATAAACTCTGTATTAGAGGCTTTTAACTTAAAGTTACTAATCTCTAATGGAGGTTTAATGGATACTGGATGTAGGGCAGCAGACCCTGTGACTGGTAATGCCAAGGTTCTATCCTTAAAGGTAGAAACAGCTTCTTCAATTCTGGTTAATTGTTTGCTCATAGTTTGACAGATTAAATTAGTATAATTATTTTGTTTAACTAACAAGCCTTCGGTTTTAGTAAATTTTCCTGATTGAGCATCAATATAGGCTGTAGCTAATAAAGGTTGTCGAGTGGTCTCACCATTAGGAGCTAACTCTAATGCTTGAGGTGGTGGATGTAAAGCATGAATAGCTTGTCCTTCGGTTGTAGTCCAGGTTTCATATTGATCATCAATAGCATTTAACTGGGGTTGGCTAACAGTTTGGTACCATTCTACAAATGGTACTATCTTCTGATGTAACTCAAGATGTTGATAAAATTGAGTTTTATAATTTTCTAACTGTTCAGGAGTATGATTGGTAAAGTACCAATTTCTAAATTCTTTATATTTTTCCTGGTTAAATTCCTGGTTTATTATTTTTCTATTTGCACTTCCTGGTGTAAAATCCATTAAATTTCAAAATTCACATCACTAGCCATTGGGCTATCTGGTGGAGGTGGTTTTGTATAAACACCATGAGGGATTCTGTTTTGAGATAATCGGATTCCTTGAATTTCTGAATTCATAGGGTCGTCCTGGGGGTCACTCGATGGCCTACTAGGAGGTCGAGAAGGTATCTGTTGAAAGATGGAATCAACTAACTGTCGGCTAGATTCAGGAAGGTCTACCCTGTAGGGTGGAATGGATTGTGAACAGCTTCCAGGTGCAGTTCTAAAACTGGTGTTGGAAAGACTTCTAGGTGCAGTTCTAAAACTAGCATTAGAAGACATACTTCTGGTAAGCATAGGTTTCTGAAATTGAAGGTAAACATTACCTTCTCGGGTCTGGATAACATCATCGATGTTATGTTGAATTAAAGGTTTCGGAGGGACAGCATTAGGAATATGCCATTGGTCCGGAAAAGTTATATCCTTCCATGGGATTAACTTAGGTACGGCTACTTGGCTACTGTAAAGATTGGTTTCAATTAATACTGTTTGACCTGTTTCAGTTTTCTTCTTGACATAAGGATTTAGGGTTGTTAAAGCCTTTATGCAAATTCGAGAATGGACTAAAAAAGGGGGAGTTCCTGGTTTATACTCATAACCATGAGTGAGGACTCTTAGTTCTAGCACATCTGATAAGTTAGCATCGCATAGAGCAACGCTCAGGTTTGGATATATATCAAAGTATACTGGTCCATGAGACAAACTTGTCTCAATAGCTCCCATGAGTGAGGCTCGCCAGTTAAGGCATCTACCATCCGTAAGGGTGCACTGAATACTGGTATTTTGACCAAGAAGGGTCAACGATTTAAAAGCAATTTGTACTAAACCTATGTGGATGTACTTCTACTGTTTTAAAAACGGAATAAAATCATTTATGTGAATTAGCCTGATTATTTCATCATTATTCTGGATGCAAGACGCATGTTCAAAGGTCTTGATAATCGTTTTACTCAGAAATTGAAAACGTCCTTTTCTGTAAATAGTGTGTGGATCTACGGATGGGATAGTCCATTTATCTAGGGCTTCCTTAACTTCCTGGTATGCTACTAATTCAGCTGCTTCGGCTAGGGAGGAAACTGTATTTCCTACTGTTGTTACTGATTCGATTCCTGGTATTTCTACGGTATTTTCTTGTTGTGGCCTACTAGGAGGTCGAGAAGGTATCTGTTGAAAGATGGAATCAACTAACTGTCGGCTAGATTCAGGAAGGTCAACCCTGTAGGGTGGAATGGATTGTGAACAGCTTCCATGTGCAGTTCTAAAACTGGTGTTGGAAAGACTTCTAGGTGCAGTTCTAAAACTAGCATTAGAAGACATACTTCTGGTAAGCATAGGTTTCTGAAATTGAAGGTAAACATTACCTTCTCGGGTCTGGATAACATCATCGATGTTATGTTGAATTAAAGGTTTCGGAGGGACAGCATTAGGAATATGCCATTGGTCCGGAAAAGTTATATCCTTCCATGGGATTAACTTAGGTACGGCTACTTGGCTACTGTAAAGATTGGTTTCAATTAATACTGTTTGACCTGTTTCAGTTTTCTTCTTGACATAAGGATTTAGGGTTGTTAAAGCCTTTATGCAAATTCGAGAATGGACTAAAAAAGGGGGAGTTCCTGGTTTATACTCATAACCATGAGTGAGGACTCTTAGTTCTAGCACATCTGATAAGTTAGCATCGCATAGAGCAACGCTCAGGTTTGGATATATATCAAAGTATACTGGTCCATGAGACAAACTTGTCTCAATAGCTCCCATGAGTGAGGCCCGCCAGTTAAGGCATCTACCATCCTTAAGGGTGCACTGAATACTGGTATTTTGACCAAGAAGGGTCAACGATTTAAAAGCAATTTGTACTAAACCTATGTGGATGTACTTCTACTGTTTTAAAAACGGAATAAAATCATTTATGTGAATTAGCCTGATTATTTCATCATTATTCTGGATGCAAGACGCATGTTCAAAGGTCTTGATAATCGTTTTACTCAGAAATTGAAAACGTCCTTTTCTGTAAATAGTGTGTGGATCTACGGATGGGATAGTCCATTTATCTAGGGCTTCCTTAACTTCCTGGTATGCTACTAATTCAGCTGCTTCGGCTAGGGAGGAAACTGTATTTCCTACTGTTGTTACTGATTCGGTTCCTGGTATTTCTACGGTATTTTCTTGTTGCTGTTCTATCATGGTTGTATAGTGATCATATATGCCTAATTTAGTTAATATTAACCTTTAAACTTGGCTCTGATACCATTTTAGGTGCTCTCTAAAGGTCAAGGCTAGTCAACGACTTTCGGGCATCAAACGGTCAACCGCACTCTCTGCTATAGACCTAATCCCTACGCGACTTGGGTGACGTCCCACTAACCCTAAACCATTAATTAACCTTACACAAGCACAAACCCAAGAATAAACATTAGCATAATACACGTATAAAGAAACCAAATTACAACATATATGATCCCATATACCTTAATGTTGTGGAGGAGGGGGAGGCCTCCTGGCTGCCCACGCCACCAGGTGCTCCTGTATCAGTACCTGAAGGTCAGCAATCCGCTGCTCACACTCAGCTAACCGTTCAAGAATATACGAACGGGTATACGAATCAACAGGTAAATTACGGTATTGCTCTTTTTTGGTTTGCCAAAATTCTAGTAACCACAAATATTGTTCAAGTGCATCAACAGTGGGCATGCATTACAAAAGAAATTTGAAAAAGAAATTTTATTGAAGAAGTACAAGTATTTTACACAGAGGGAGGATGGAAGGGAGATTACAAAGGAAGACTAAAAAACTGAAAGACTCGAAAACTGACTCTAAGTCTGCCTTAACAAGGGTGAGGAGATCCCTTTTATAGAACAAAAAAAAGATAAGATTTATTATTACAGGCTGATAGATGGCAAACTTCGAGCGGACCGACAGATTTCCATCTTATCTTCTTATCTTCAACTTTGTCGGTGTGGGGAGCATTATCATGAATCTCCTTTTACTGTAGTGCTTTTGACTGGAGCGAATCTTTGCTTTTTCAAAAGATTTTTGTCTGTTATGCCGACGCCTACACAGCAGGGCCCTTGCCTTTACTGTTTTTGTCTTTGGACATCTTATCTGCAATAATGGCTGTTAAAGAATCCCAAAAATCTCCAAGATGGGGTTCATCTTCTGGATCTTGTGACTCTCCAGCTAGCACGTGTTCGGCTGGATCACTCTCGGGTTCAGATGGAGTCTGACTGGTTCCTGACCTCATAGAGACGTCATCTTCATGGCCAACAGATTGCAGAAATTGATCTTTGAGATAGTCCATGCTTTTGACGATCAATTCACTATCTGACAACTGTGGATACTTCTGTTTTAATTCCTTCTGAATTTGCAGAAAAGGATTGGTAACTGGTGAAGGAGCTGGAAGCGCAGGTTGCTTGACTGATTCCCAACAAGCTTGGGTATGCTGATGAATTTTCTGAAGAAGATCCTTAAGATCCATTTTATCCCATCATTTGACAAAAAATATTCGTTTTAGTCGAGGGACTTTATTTTGATAATCGCAAGAGAAGTCCCACTTCCATATCCAGGGGATGCTAAAACGGATACTGAAGTGAACTACAGATTTACTGATAGATAATTCTCTGTTTTTATTTAAAAATGAATACGCACGGGAATAAGCCACATGCCATTCATTGTATGCTGTTCGAACATTGTCTGGTAAAATGTCTAAAGAAAGACCGAATTTATCCCACCAAACGAGGAACCAATTAGGAACATCGTTTTTGAGGACATCAGGGAGAACACGGATGAGCCAAGAGTGGTTCTTGATTGGATTCTGTTAGTAAAATCCCTGGGTAAACGCATCAATGTAATCCCAGAAAGTATACTTATTCTGTTTGTTCCTGAGATCCAAATCTCGGGTGGTATGCGGATGAATGCCCCAAGATTGGCCAACAATGTTCAAAAGCAAAATATTTGTTTTCATCTTGATGGTATAACAGTTTTGCTTGAAGCATCTATATCAATAAAATATTAAATTAATTAATCAGTTAATTTTTATATAAGACAAAATAAAAAAAAAACTAACATAATAAATAAAAATGAAATCTTACTATATCAACTTGTGACGCTCCACTTGGATGTAGATTTTCGACTTGAGCTAGACACCCACGAAGTTTGTTGCAACATTTCATGATTACTCCTCATCGAGATGAGATAGAAACTTGTGTTCTTAAGTGATCATTATGTAGTGAGCAATAATTTTCAAAAATTCTTCCTCAAAAATGAGCACGCGATTGTGAATTTCTAACAATTGGGTATTCAGTAATGTGATACCAGGCTCTACAAATTGCCACATCTTCTTGAGTAGTGAATGGTTTTCCTCTCTTTCTTTTTGATGAACCTTCCATAGTGATTGGCCTAAAAAAACTAAAAACAAATTGAGGGTTTGAATTAATTTTGAAAGTTTGCTGTCAAATGCAATTGAGATAAAGAGAGGAGAAAAGAAATATAAAATTTGAAATATTTACTGTGAAATGAAATTGAAATTGAGGTTTCTATTTATAGAAATACAAAATATGGCCGTTAAGAAAAAAAACATGATTGTTCCTTTATAGCTGTTTTTTTTTTTTTTTTGGTTTTTTTTTTTTTCCAGGCAAAAAGAGCACAATGACTTTTTTGCCTTTCCAAGATAGATCATTTCCAACGGTTGAGATGAAAATCCAGAATCATCCATCCATTTTCCTCTCCCTTTCAGTCTCCCTCTCCCTCATTCTCACTCTCACTCTGTCTCTATATGTCTTCTCTCTCTTCGATCGGCTACGAGGCAGGTTTCCCTCTCCCTCTCTCTCTCTCTCTCACTCCTACTCCTTTCTATCTATCTGTTTGTTTGTCTGTCTCTCTCTCACTCCTAGAATCATCGTCAACCGTCTACCCCCTCCCCTCTTTCTCTCTCTCTCTCTCTATCTCTCTCTCTCTCTCTCTCTCTCTCTTAGAATGGAAGAGACGATCACCGGATCTCCTCTCCCTCATTGTCACTCTATCTCTTATCCCTCTATCTTCGATCGGCAACGGCACATGCTTGAAGAGACGATCGGCGACCGTCTACCTCCCACCCCTCTTTCTATCACTCCTCTCTATCTCTTTGTCTCTCTCAATCTTAGAATGGAAGACACGATCATCAGATCTACCTCTCTCTCATTATCACTCTATCTCTCATCTCTCTGTCTTCGATCGGCGACAGTACAAGATCATTTTCAGTTTTGATCAGCGACGGTATAAGGTATTCATTATTTTCAGTGTTGTTCATTATTTCAGTTATGAAATTGCTTATTGAGCTCATTATGAAATTGTTGAATTTGATATTTGTTCAATTTATTTGAGAAAAAAAATTTAAAAAAAGTTGAATTTGTTTGAATTCAACCAAATTAAAAAAAGATTTGTTGAATTTGTTGATGTTTGGGTAAATTAAAAAAATATATTATTCAAAAAAATTTTGGTGAATTCTGAAATATAAAAATGGTGAAACAGTTGCTGGAAGGAAGGGAGGAAAGGAAGGAGAGAAACAGTTGGTTTTGGTTGAGTTGGCACAAATGGCAGCTTTGTGTCAAATTTGACACAAGTTTGGACATTTTTGAAATTTGACAACTGCTATATTCAATCATTGGAGCATCATTTTTCAACACAACTGTTATATTATAGCAATGGCAGCTCTAATGACAAATCATTGGAGATGCTTTTAATAGGTTTAGAAAGTTGGAAAATAAATTATTTTTTTATCAAAATAAAAAAAATATTAATATAACATTTGACTTTTTGTTTTTTTTTTATTTTAATGAAAATTGGCTTTCTCTCTCTCTCTCTCTCTCTCTCTTTCTTTTTTGTTTTTGTTTTTTTTGCGAAACACCTTTTTTCTACCTTTTTTGATTCAATGCTGTTTTGGCAACGCAACAAAAAGCTACGTTTTGAGCAACTTTCCAAAAACGCCAATCCTTGCAAAAACGCCACTGATCTCATTTGGAAAGACTCAAAAAAGCCACTTAAAAATTTACTAAACTTCCCTCTGGAACATTATAATTAATTAATTCAAAAAATTGTTGACATGTAAAAAGTAAGGATATTTTGATCATTTTAGAGTGATGTGACACTTTTAAAAAATATTAAATCAAAAAGCAAAATCAACTTTTTATCAACTTTCAAATCACTTCCAAAAAAATCAAAAAATTTACTTTTTACCAACTTCCTAATACACCCAAAGTAATATCACAGAATAATTTAAACCTTTTTGTGTAAAGTATATTTTTAGTTGAGAGAGAATTATCTTTTTAGTTTATCAAACGTTCAGTGCAATACACAAACACATATCAATATAGATACGCGTCACAGCAGAAGAGCTGGAGCAAGAAGAAGAAAGGATTGCTTCTCTGATCCAAAAATGTCCAAACATGCGAATTCTCCACCAAATCCACGCCCATCTCCTCACCCACCCCCTACCCATCTCCACCATTTCCTTCGCTTTCAGCAAAATCGTCGGCTTTTCGGCTCTCTCTCCTCACGGCGACATCAACTACGCCCGAAAGCTCTTCTCTCAAATCCCATCACCTAACATCTTCTCTTGGAATTCCCTCATTAGAGCTTATTCCCACACTCAATACCCGTCAACATCACAACCCATTTGTCTCTTCAAAAAACTGATCAAGAGAGGCTTCCCAAAACCCAATACTTTCACTCTAGCCTTCGTTCTCAAGGCCTGTTATGTTGTGTCGTCCTTTGAAGAAGGCCAGCAGGTTCATTCTCGCATCGTGCGATCTGGGTTTGGTTCTAGTCCCTTTGTTGAGACAGCATTGATTAATTTTTATACAAAATGTGAACACATTGTGTTGGCCAAGAAGGTGTTTGATGAAATTCCTGAGAGAAATTTATTTGCTTGGAATACTATGATTTGTGGGTATTCAAAAATTAAGATGGTTAATGAGGCTTTTGGTTTGTTTCGGGAAATGCAAAAGGTGGGTATAGCTCCGGATGAGGTGACTATGGTTAGTGTGATTTCGGCTTGTGCTGCATCAGGGGCATTGGATGTTGGTAGATGGATTCATGCCTATATTGATAAGCATTTGATTGATACTGATCTTGAACTTAGTACTTCTCTTGTTAATATGTACGCAAAGTGCGGTTCTATAGAAAAAGCTATAGAAGTTTTTGATAAAATGCCTATCAAGGATACAAAGGCTTGGAGCTCGATGATTGTTGGAATGGCAATTCATGGGCTAGCAGAAGATGCAATGGAGGCCTTTTCTAGGATGGAAGAAACCAAGGTAGTGAGAGACAAAGAATTGGACAAAATATAATCTAGGGAATAACTTTGTTCCTTTTTTTCTTGCGAACTGTGAAAATAGTACACAAAAAGAATGATTTGTTTTATATTTTTCTCAACTTACTACAATTGATGTTATTTAATTTTCTTTCAGGTGAAGCCTAATCATGTAACATTCATTGGTGTCCTATTGGCCTGTGCTCATAGTGGGAGAGTTTTGGAGGGCAAGAAATACTGGTCAAGCATGCTGGAGTCCGGGGTTGTACCATCAATGGAGCACTATGGTTGCATGGTTGATCTACTTTGCAGAGCTAACCTTGTTGAAGAGGCTTGCACATTTGTCGAAACCATGCCTATTTCCCCAGATGTGGTAATTTGGCGCACATTACTTGTTGCTTGCAAGAAAAATAGAAATATGGAGAAAGGTGAAATTGCCGGTAGTAGGCTTCTTGAACTAGAACCTCTCAATGCAGAGAACTATGTACTTCTTTCCAATTTGTATGCATCAGGTTCAGAATGGGCAAAAATGAGCCATGTGAGGAAATTGATGAAGGATAAAGGAATCAAGGCTGTTCCGGGGTGCAGCTCCATTGAAATTGATGGTTTCATGCATGAGTTTGTGATGGGTGATTGCTCTCATCCAGAGGCAAAGGAGATAAGGGAGGTCCTGAAGGATATATCTGAAAGGGTATGTGGTGATGGGTATGAACCTTGGACTTTAGATGTATTGCACAATGTGGAAGATGAAGAGAAAGAAAGTGCTCTTTGTGAGCATACCTGGCCATTGCTTATGGGTTATTGAAGACAGAAGCACCCACAGTAATTAGGGTAGTCAAGAATCTTAGAGTTAGTGTGGTGGACTGCCATGAAGTAACAAAGATCATTAGTATCTGCAATAATGGCTGTTAAAGAATCCCAAAAATCTCCAAGGTGGGGTTCATCTTCTGGATCTTGTGACTCTCCAGCTAGCACGTGTTCAGCTGGATCACTCTCGGGTTCAGATGGAGTCTGACTGGTTCCTGACCACATAGAGACGTCATCTTCATGGCCCACAGATTGCAGAAATTGATCTTTGAGATAGTCCATGCTTTTGACGATCAATTCACTATCTGACAACTGTGGATACTTCTGTTTTAATTCCTTCTGAATTTGTAGAAAAGGATTGGTAACTGGTGAAGGAGCTGGAAGCGCAGGTTGCTTGACTGATTCCCAACAAGCTTGGGTATGCAGATGAATTTTCTGAAGAAGATCCTTAAGATCCATTTTATCCCACCATTTGACAAAAAATATTCGTTTTAGTCGAGGGACTTTATTCTGATAATCGCAAGCGAAGTCCCACTTCCATATCCAGGGGATGCTAAAACGGATACTGAAGTGAACTACAGATTTACTGATAGAAAATTCTCTATTTTTATTTAAAAATGAATACGCACGGGAATAAGCCACATGCCATTCATTGTATGCTGTTCGAACATTGTCTGGTAAAATGTCTAAAGAAAGATCGAATTTATCCCACCAAACGAGGAACCAATTAGGGACATCGTTTTTGAGGACATCAGGGAGAACACGGATGAACCAGGAGTGGTTCTTGATTGGATTCTGATAGTAAAAAACCTGGGTAAACGCATCAATGTAATCCCAGTAAGTATACTTAGTCTGTTTGTTCCTGAGATCCAAATCTCGGGTGGTATGCAGATGAATGCCCCAAGTAGATATGGGCATAATGTGACGGATAACAATTTTACTATACTGGATAATATTAGGTGCTCACTAAAGGTCAAGGCTAGCACGTCTGTCAACGACTTACGGGCATCAAACGGTCAACCGCACTCTCTGCTATAGACCTAATCCCTACGCGACATGGGTGACGTCCCACTAACCCTAAACCATTAATTAACCTTACACAAGCACAAACCCAAGAATAAACATTAGCATAATACACGTATAAAGAAACCAAATTACAACAAATATGATCCCATGTACCTTACTGCTGTGGAGGAGGGTGAGGCCTCTTGGCCGCCCACGCCACCAGGTGCTCTTGTATCAGTACCTGAAGGTCAGCAATCCGCTGCTCACACTCAGCTAACCGTTCAAGAATATACGGACGGGTATACGGATGAACAGGTAAAGTATGGTATTGCTCTTTTTTGGTTTGCCAAAATTCTAGTAACCACAAATATTGTTCAAGTGCATCAACAGTGGGCATGCATTACAAAAGAAATTTGAAAAAGAAATTTTATTGAAAAAGTACAAGTATTTTACACAGAGGGAGGATGGAAGAGAGATTACAAAGGAAGACTAAAAAACTGAAAGACTCGAAAACTGACTCTAAGTCTGCCTCAACAAGGGTGAGGAGATCCCTTTTATAGAACAAAAAAAAGATAAGATTTATTATTACAGGCTGACAGATGGAAAACTTCGAGCGGACCGACAGATTTCCATCTTATCTTCTTATCTTCAACTTTGTCGGTGTGGGGAGCATTATCATGAATCTACTTTTACTGTAGTGCTTTTGACTGGAGCGAATCTTTGCTTTTTCAAAAGATTTTTGTCTGTTATGCCGACGCCTACTCAGCAGGGCCCTTGCCTTTGCTGTTTTTGTCTTTGGACATCTTATCTGCAATAATGGCTGTTAAAGAATCCCAAAAATCTCCAAGATGGGGTTCATCTTCTGGATCTTGTGACTCTCCAGCTAGCACGTGTTCGGCTGGATCACTCTCGGGTTCAGATGGAGTCTGACTGGTTCCTGACCTCATAGAGACGTCATCTTCATGGCCAACAGATTGCAGAAATTGATCTTTGAGATAGTCCATGCTTTTGACGATCAATTCACTATCTGACAACTGTGGATACTTCTGTTTTAATTCCTTCTGAATTTGCAGAAAAGGATTGGTAACTGGTGAAGGAGCTGGAAGCGCAGGTTGCTTGACTGATTCCCAACAAGCTTGGGTATGCTGATGAATTTTCTGAAGAAGATCCTTAAGATCCATTTTATCCCACCATTTGACAAAAAATATTCGTTTTAGTCGAGGGACTTTATTCTGATAATCGCAAGCGAAGTCCCACTTCCATATCCAGGGGATGCTAAAACGGATACTGAAGTGAACTACAGATTTACTGATAGATAATTCTCTGTTTTTATTTAAAAATGAATACGCACGGGAATAAGCCACATGCCATTCATTGTATGCTGTTCGAACATTGTCTGGTAAAATGTCTAAAGAAAGACCGAATTTATCCCACCAAACGAGGAACCAATTAGGGACATCGTTTTTGAGGACATCAGGGAGAACACGGATGAACCAGGAGTGGTTCTTGATTGGATTCTGATAGTAAAAAACCTGGGTAAACGCATCAATGTAATCCCAGTAAGTATACTTAGTCTGTTTGTTCCTGAGATCCAAATCTCGGGTGGTATGCGGATGAATGCCCCAAGTAGATATGGGCATAATCTGACGGATAACAATTTTACTATATGGATAGGGCTAGCAGATTTGTTGATATCATGCAGGGTGTGCTTGATTTCAACAGCCCCAGTTTCTGTTAACATCTGTTCATAGATGTACCAGTACTGGTCAAAATGAGGGGGAGATTGCTGTGTAGTAAGATAACGGCGTTTGATCTCCCATGGATCTGACATCCATTGCTCATCTGCAGATTCGATCTAGAGGACTGTTTCCTCTGTAAGACTGTTTGGAGTATACGGATCTTCCGACCTAAGGAGAACATCCTTAGTCGAAGGAGTACTGGTTTGGCCTTTCAAAGGAGGAAATTCTGATGGATCATAACGAGGGTTATTACCCCTGCCACGACCACGCCCACGCTTGCCTTTAATGGTCATTTACGGATTTCTGTAAATATTCACGGGTCAGAAAATCAGGCAAAGAGTTAGTTTCTCCTTTAATATATTCAATAGCAAAATTAAAATTGGATAAATAACTCTGCTATGTTAAGAATATCTGTTTAGAAGCAAGGTTTTTAACATCCTGCTTAAACATCTGTTTTGCAGCAGAGCAATCAACTTTGATAAGAAAATGCTGGTTTAATAAATCATCCTGAAATTTAATAACACCTTTTACAATGGCTAAACATTCCTGTTTAATAGTTGGATAATTTAAAGCAGCTTGATTCCAATGTCCAGAATGAAAGCGTAATAATTCTTCTTTCTGGGTTTTGGGATTAAACTGTTTTAAAATACCGCCAAAGCCTGCATTGGAAGCATCAGTTTCAACAATTTTCTTCCAATTAGGGTTTGGTAACTGTAAACACGGTAACTGTTGGACTTTAGCCTTGATACGTTGTACTGCTAAAGTATGTTCTGGAGACCACGGTGGAGGATTCTTCCTTAACCTGGTATATAGAATGCTAGCATCGGCAGATAAATTATGATAATAATCTCGAACATAATTAAGACTGCCTAAAAATCTCTGTAACTGAGTTTTGTCTTTAATTTCATCAGGAAATTTAGAAGCAAACTCCATGCTACGGTTAATAGGTATAATACTGCCATTGGAAATATTATGACCTAAATATCTGATAGTTGTCTGAAATAGCTGCATTTTTGGGGCAGAAAGAACTAAACCATTTCTGATAATAACATTCTTAAAAATATTAAGATGTTTAACATGCTGGTCAATTGATGAGGAGAAAATTAAAACATCATCAATGTAGGAAAGCGTAAATTCTGTATAAGGATTAAAAATATCATTCATGATATGTTGGAATTCGGATGGGGCATTTTTTAAACCAAATGGCATAACATTCCATTCATAATGCCCAAAGGGTACAGTAAAAGCGGTTTTATAACGATCCTGTTCAGCAATTTCAATTTGCCAATATCCTGATTTAAGGTCAAATTTGGAAAAAATGATGGCATCCTGTAAACGATCCAAAAGATCTTTTTTGTTCGGGATTGGATATCTAATCCATTTTAATTTGTCATTTAACGGTTTATAATTGATTACAAGGCGAGGAATGCCTCGCTCAATTTCAGCATTTTTATTTACATAAAAAGCGGTACAACTCCACGGGGAGTGACTTGGTCGGATCAATTTTTTATCGAGAAGATTTTGAATTTCTGTTTTACACATTTCCATATATTCCTTTTTCATTTGGCTAGGACGAGCTCGAGTTGGAATATATTTTTCATCAAAGTCTGGTTCATAGGGTAATGTGACAGCATACTTTTTGCGGTTCCAAAAAGCATTAGGAACATTACCACAGACTTCTGTTTGAAATTCTGATTCAATTAATTTAATTTTCTGTTGGAAAGATGGTTGCTGTAACCTTTGTTCTGTTGTTAAAAAATGAACTTCCTTTTGTAATAAATTTATTTGATTCTGTTTACAAGTAACTAGATCCCTAATCTGATCTAATTCTTTTGTATACGGTTGTGTGATAAATTCAAAAATAACTGATTTTCCTTGTAATTGAGAATAAATTCCTGTTTGGTCTATTTTCTGGATAGGCATTAGTAAACACAAAAATGGCGTGCCTAAGATGATATTTGTAGCAAGATTTTTGATTAAAACAAAAGATGTTGGAAGACATAAATCTTGGTTACAAATATATGCTTCTGGAACTTTGTACCTGATTTGAAGAGAATTTCCACTGGCACTGGTTAGACTTTGGGTAGTCTTTTCAAAATACCTGGTTGGAACCATACCTTCTTGGATACAGTTCATATCTGCGCCACTGTCAACTAATGCAATAGCGTCTTTAATCATGAAGTCAGGTTTTATTAAAAATGAAATTTTAATATACCATTTCTGAAAGGTGACTTGACTTACAAGTAATAAATACGGAGTAGATGATTCTGGTTCAGATTTTTGTTCAGGTTTTTGTTCATTAGTTTTAATAATGTTTTCTGTTTGTTGTTTTAAC